TAATGGCATGCTTCCGCCAATCCCTAGGTACCTTCCCCTTTCATAATTTTAAACAAAGTACCAACCACTCCACACATATCCCCCCCCTTTTTAACATTTCTGCCCAGATCCCAAAGTTCAGCTGCTTCCCCCTTAAATTCTACATATGCTCGCGTAACCTCCCCACACTTGCATTCGCTCTTCTTCACTCCAAAAAGGGATGGTTTTACCCCCCGACAGTCATGAAATTACCCCCACCATTTTTTCCTCAACGTTGAAAAAGTTCCTCAAATTTCTCGCCCTCCTAGTACTCCCTCTCCCAATCTACTAACTCCCCTTACTTGTTTCTAACTGACAAATCCATACTTTCCCTAGGCTTTTACTTGTTTAACTCACTCCAAATATTTTTTTTATTTTCATTAAAATTTCTGACAGTGCCTCGCCCACTTCATCTGCTCCCCTTTTCACTCTCTCCCACATCTTCACCTTCTCTTACTCTCCATAACTCTGCTTTTTTATAAACACTTCTGCTTTGTAAAACTCCAAAACTAACTTTTTCTTTTACTTACAACAATCATCTCTCTTTCCAACCTGCCCCACCTCCTATAACTAAAAAAAAAAAATTTCTCCCTCACATTCTAATATTGCATTTTTAAAACTATTCCACCCTCTTCAAACCCCCCCCCCCCCCCACTACTATCTTTGCACTGGGCCACTTTTTGCAACGTCGTTATTTTCTCCCCGAACTTCTCCCCCTTAGTTTATACACTTTCACCTCCCTTTACTTGTGTTGCTACCTTCCTCTTTTCCTTACCTTACTCTAATGTGCTACACAAAATTTAAGAACCGTATATCGTTGCCCTCTATAAACTGGTACTCCTGGGACCTACCATCACCTTTTTTCCCATACATAATCTAACAAATTTACTTTCATTATGTGCTAATCATACCTGTGTGTTGTGTGTGTGTGTGTGTGTGTGTTGTGTGTGGTTGTGTGTGTGTGGTGTGTGTGTGTGTGTGTGTGTGTGTGTATATATATATTTTTATTATATATAAATATATAATATATAATTATATATAATTATATATATATATATATATATATATAATATATTATATATTTTAAATTTTATATTATATTATAATATTTTATATATATATATATATAATATAATATATATAAAAAATTTTTCCTCAAATCTCCCCCCCCCCCCCCCCAACAAGTCGGCCGTCTCCCACCGAGCGGGTGGCCCAAAAAAAAGAAAATCCCCAAAAAGAAAATACTTTCATCATCATTCAACACTTTCACCACACTCACACATTATCACTGTTTTTGCAGAGGTGCTCAGAATACAACAGTTTAGAAGCATTTTACGTAAAAGATACACAACATATCCCTCCAAATGCCATATATATATATATATAAAAAAATATTAACAAATCCACTACATATTTTCAGGTTAGAAACTGAGCTTCTGGATGGGTTTTTTAAAAAAAATTCAGACCATCAAAGACTGATAAAAGAAGGAAGAAAAACGCCGAACATTCATCCCAAAACCCAAAAAGGGCAGAAACAGACTTACCAGTCATACACATGTCATTCCAGAAACTCAAGAGCGTGTTGTCAATGAAGTATGGAATGCCTTAGTTCCGCCTTCCCAGCCACCTACCCGTCTCTACCGTTACATTCACCCTGATGTGTTGCAGGTGGATCCCTCTACCAGGTAGCTAGTTATTTATGGCTCTTGAAGAAAATTTTTATTAAATACTATTTCAATTACAATTTGAAATTAGTCCAGAATAAGCAGTGTTAGGCATTCTGGATACTAAAACTATCTACTGTGTTTGTTAATCACAGCCCCAAGCCTCTTCTATGTAAAACTTGCCCTCCATTTTGAATCCATTTCAAAATAAAATTGAAGCTTTACCCTATTTCTCAATAAAATATAATAAAGAATGCTTGGTTGTGGTTTAGATCCCAATAATTGAAGCAGACCTAGTAAAAACTCATAAAACAGACTGAGGAGGGGCCCTACCAGTCTTCAGGAAAATTGCCAAAAATTTAATATTTAAGCCCTATTTCAAGCTACTTCCAGTCCTGAAACTGACCAAAATCATCTACTTCACTAATGTCTTCCATTCTAACATTTGAAACCAAGAAATAGCCAATTCTAAAAACACCTCAAAGTCATCGTTCGAAACCATACAAGATCAGCAGTTTGCTTTTCCCTTCATGCACTGCATAGGGCAAGATTTTTTTAATATTGTGTACATTTGATGCACAAACCCATTTTCTTGTGTCTAGGACATAATTTACCTTTCACAGTTTATCTGAGGAGTTGAGCTCAAAATGTAGATCTATGTGAGTAATGCTGACATCAAAGATGTAAATCTGCACGAGAGATGGTGATAGGATTATAAAAGGCCTTGTTCTTGTTTTTTCTCTTAAAAAAAAAAAGTACAGTATTTAAAGCAATCATGAGTATCTTATGCCTTAATTGTTTTACTCAGGCAAGATTTAGTCTTTTTTCTTTCTCACAAACATTTAAGATGAAAGGGAATTCTTAAAAACTTCTGATTATTGAACATGCCTAAATGCTTATTGACCAGCTTCCACCTAGGTAAGATGACCTTAAAAACAAAAAAATGCATTTACTATCATTCATTAAGTTGCTGTCTTACCAGTAGTGTACTGACATGGCAATTCAAATGACCCTCAAACTCAACAGCAAATTGACCATCAAATTTCACTTGTCTCCACTCAGTCCAATTGAACATTCACGAGCCTGCTGAATCTTAAAGCCCTTGGCCATCTACCTTTATCCTTTCATTCCCACCTTCCACCTTAGATTTATATACCATCATTCTATCCCTTCCCATCTTCTAAATGCCAAACCACTTTAACAGCCCTTTGTCAGCCGTCTGAAATTATAACATTGGTAACACTAAATTTGGAAAGACCAGGAAATCTTGCACTGTCCCTGATTTCTCAACAGCATCACTGTACCATAAAATGTCCACTCTGTGTCTAGAGCATTATTCTTCCTCTTCGCCTTTGTATTGGTGCAGTCCTTATTACAGTGGTCCCTCAATAATAGTCCAGCTCGATAGTCGTCCTTTTCGGAAATCGTCGCATTATTTCTTCCAAACATTGGCTCGCAAATGGTCCGTTGACTCTCTAATCATCGTTCGTCTGGGATGTGTACACACAGCCCCGAGCTGCCTCTCACTCCATTCCCAGCCAGTGTGCCATTGTTTATCAGTGAGTGAGGATGATCCCACGAGTTCGTACGATACATTTCATAATATTCCATTCGTTTTATGCTTGCAACTGTTAAATAAGTCACCATGGCTCCAAAGACACCTTCTAGTGCCAGCCCTTTGGTAAAGAATGTGAGAAACGCATATAATTTAAGAAAAAGTTTGTAGAAAAATACGAAGGTGGTGGTGGTAGAGTGGAAGCAGTTGTGATAGTGGTTGATGGTGGTATAGGGTGGTAGTGATGGTGGTAGAAGGTGGTATTGATGGTGGTAGCAGTTGTAATAGTGGTAGAAGGTGGTAGTGATGGTGGTAGCAGTTGTAATAGTGGTAGAAGGTGGTAGCAGTTGTAATAGTGGTAGAAGGTGGTAGCAGTTGTAATAATGGTAGAAGGTGGTAGTGATGGTGGTAGCAGTTGTAATAGTGGTAGAAGGTGGTAGTGATGGTGGTAGAGGGTGCCTTCTTCAGTGATTCAGCAATTCTACTAACTCCTCCAATGTTGTTGGAGTTATATAGGGCTACAAAAAACACTGCCACCTCAGCTGCTGCTTCACCACCATTTTGGACGGCTTACTCTGTGGCCCTTGTATACCCAACAACACCACAACACACCTCGTGACATACATAATGACTTATTCATTCTATTATTCATTCATTTATTCATCCATGTTTCTGTGTTATTAGTATGTGACCTCAAACACTTACTTGATCCTAAGAGATTTTTGGAAAGAACACTTCAGTATCCTCCATTGCATAAGCCTTATAGGTAAGGCTTGGGAGGGAGTGACTACCAGGACTTTGAACTCTGCTTGGAGAAAATTGTGGCCAGATTGTGTCTACAAGAGGGATTTTGAAGGATTTGTGGCTACCCTGATGAGCCTGTGTCAGTTGTGAACTCTATTGTGGCATTAGGGAGTTCCATGGGGTTGGATGTGAGTTTGGAGGATGTGGAAAAGTTGGTGGAGGACCACAAGGAAGAGCTAACCACTGAGGAGCTGCAAGAGCTTGAGTTGGAATAGCAACAGATCGCAGCTCAGAATCTTGCTGCAGAGGAGGAGGAAGAGAGATGGAAGAAGGTGCCTTCTTCAGAAATTAAGGAGAATTTTGAAATGTGGGGTAGGATGGAAAGATTTATGGAGAAACATCACCCTGAGAAGGATGTTGCAAGCCATATCAGCAACTTGTACAGTGACAGTCTTGGCCCATTTTAGGGAAGCTTTAAAGAGACGCCAAAAACAGAGCTCTCAGGACAGTTTTTTTGCGAGACAGGACTCCAGTGACTCTCAAGCTGGTCCTAGTGGCATTAAGAAAGAGAAGAGAAGTAACCCCAGAAAAGGACTTGGTAATGCCTGAGGTGTTGATGGAAGGGGATTCCCCTTCCAAACAGTAACTAATCCAATCTCTCTCCTCCTCCAGTCTTCCATACACTAAGAAGAATCACCAATAAAGGTAAGTGTTATGCTGTTAATGTTTCATTCATCATGTCCCATTGTATTTATGTACTACATCTATATTTCATGTAAAAAAATTTTTTTAATACTTCTGGGTGTCAGGAACGGATTAATTGTATTTGCATTATTTCTTATGGGAAAAATTGATTCGAAAATCGTCTATTTCGATAATCGTCGCACTTCCAGGAACGGATTCGACCTTTGAGGGTCAACAGGCCCTCTCCGAGAATTGTTCTCAGGGTCGGCCAAATTTCAAAAAAAAAAAAAAAATTTTTTTCTTATGAAAAGATAGAGAATCTTTTCCCGATCATAATGACACCAAAAGTATGAAATTTGATGGAAAACTTTTGGAATTATGCTCTCGCGAAGTTAGCGGTCTCAACGATGTTTACGCATCAGCGATTTTGCCCACTTTGAGCCCTATTTTCGGCCAATTCCTGTGTACTAGTCAACAAAAATCATAACTAGGTAGGTTGTAGGTTGGTAGACAGCAACTACCCAGGGAGGTACTATCGTCCTGCCAAGTGAGTGTAAAATGAAAGCCTGTAATTGCTTTACATGATGGTAGGATTGCTGGTGTCTTTTTCTGTCTCGTAAACATGCAAGATTTCAGGTACTTCTTGTTACTTCTACTTACACTTAAGTCACACTACACGTGCATGTACAAGCGTATAGTATTACACACACACCTCTGAGTTTTCTTTTATTTTCTTGCTAGTTCTTGTTCTTGTTTATTTCTGCTTATCTTCATGGGGAAGTGGAACAGAATTCTTCCTCTGTAAGCCACACGTGTTATAAGAGGCGACTAAAATGCCAGGAGCAAGGAGCTAATAATCCCTTATCCTGTATACATTACTAAAGTTGAAAAGAGAAATTTTTTTTCTTTTTGGGCCACCCTGCTTTGGTGGGATATGGCTGGTTTGTTGAAAGAAAGAATAATTATTTTTACAATCTCTCTTGTCCCCTTTTCGTTAATATAAAGGAATTATACACACACTCTGCCAATCCCTAGGTACCTTTCCCTCTTTCATACATTTATTAAACAAAAATACCAACCACTCCAACACTATCTCCCTCTGCTTTTAACATTTCTGTCATGATCCCATCTGTTCCAGCTGCTTTACCCTCTTTCATTCTACATACTGCCTCACACATCTCCCCCCCAGTGACATCCTGCTCTCCTTCACTTCTAAAAAATGTTATACCTCCCTGCTCGGTGCATGAAATTACTGCCCGCCTTTCTTCATCGGCATTTAAGTTTCTCAAAATATTCCCGCTATCTACCCAATACCTCCAGTTCCCTATCTACTAACTCCCCTCTGTTTTTAACTGACAAATCCATTCGTTCCCTAGGCTTTCCTAACTTTTTTATTTCACTCTAAATTTTTTCTTATTCTCAGCAAAATTTCTTGACAGTGCCTCTCCCACTCTATCATTTACTCTCCTTTTGCACTCTCACTACTCTCTTCACCTTCCTTTTACTCTCCATATACCCTGCCCTTCTTATATCACTTCTGCTTTGTAAAAACCTCTCAAAAGCTACTTTTTTCTCTTTTATTGCACCCTCTACCTCATCATTCCACCAATCACTTCTCTTTCTTCCTGCACCCACCCTCCTATAGCCACAAACTTCTGCCCCACATTCTGATACTGCATTTTTAAAACTATCCCATCCCTCTTCAATCCATTAACAAAAAGAGATACAAAAGTAAAATAAATACACAGGACATACAAAGCTTAAAATATAGTGCTGGTTGCCTTCCCTTATGTAACTGTTGAAGAAAATGGCAGAAAAGCATGAAAAGCAACAAACTTAATGAACAATGGCTCAGTTGAAAACCACTGAAAATGTGGAACACTGAAAAGAGGGTGCCAAATATACAGGGCCTTCCTGTACATTTCCAGCATAATTCCATTCCACATATGGCACAAGTAGGATTGCTTCCAATGCTAAAAGACTGGAAAAGTAATGGGAGAGAAGAAGTGAGGTTAAATTGAAGACAAAATTTATTGATAATGTATTGAGAATTTTTTCTCTTAATTACTCTGTGATTGAGCTATATCTAGTGATCCAACCCCCCTTCCCTTTCTCCAGACCAGCCATTTCCCACTGAGGCAGGGTGACCTAAAAAGAAAAACAAAACTATCTATTGTATATTACTTTATTTTAAGTTGATGTACTAGTGCATATGTGATAAAAATTTAAGCCTTGTCTTTTACTGATTAATGTGATTATATTACATATTAATGTGATTTCAGAGAATACATAGTGTGGAAATTAGGAGATGTGCAGTTACTAAATGTATTATTCAGAGGGCTGAAGACGGGTTATTGAGTTGGTTTGGTCATTTAGAGAGGAGGGAACAAAGAATGACTTGGAGAGCATATAGATCTGTAGTGGAAGCAGTGGGGGCTCGTGTATAGGCACTGCAGAACTACAGCACCCCCTATTTTCGTTCGGTATTATCGATAACATTCAATATGACAAGTCTTTTTTTTTTCTTTAACTCTTTCTTTATACTTGTACGTTTTATAATCCTTAAGCTTAATGTCAGTAGCCATCCCCTAGTATATGAAAAAATTACAAAAATCCTTGTATGGAACTGTGCACTTCACAGTTCCAGCAACTCGGTGTTTGGCTGTTGTGCACATGTCCAAGATAAGACGCTGCACATTAGGTAGAGAGAGTACTGTTGCTGACGCAGTGCCGACCCCATTGTGCAAGTGTAAGGCAGTGTTTCTTTTTGACTCGGTGACATGTGTTGTGCTTAAAAACCATGTACCATATTCTTGAATGTGATAGTGTAGAATTAGATGATTATCATGCCTTCAGCTATTTTACTTAATTCATAGTTTTTTCAGTTCTTTCATTTTACACAATATTAAAACAATGGCTAAAAATTTTCTGAAGCAGCACCTCCACTAATTTTAGCTACGAGCCACCACTGAGTGGAAGGAACGTGGGGTAGGGGTCATCCTAGGAAAAGTTGGAGGAAGGGGGTAAAGGAGGTTTTTGTGTGCAAGGGGCTTGGACTTCCAGCAAGTGTGCATGAGCGTGTTAGATAGGATTGAGTGGAGAAGAGTGGTTTTTGGGACCTGATGAGTTGTTGGAGTGTGAGCAGGGTAATATTTTGTAAAGGGATTCAGGAAAACCGCTTAGCCGGACTTGAGTCCTGGAGATGGGAAGTACAATGCCTGCTCTTTAAAAGAGGGGTTTGGGATATTGGCTCTTTGGAGTGATATCTAAACTGTCTTATCTTATTGCCTCTGCAAAGACAGTGATTATGTATGAATTATGGTGAAAGTGTTGAATGATGAAAGTTTTTTTTTCTTTCTTTTTTGGGTCACCTTGCCTCTGTGGTAAACAACCGATATGTTAAAAAAAATATATATAAAATGCATTAATTTGTGAAAATTTACCATTTTCTCTAACAGCAGTGAGGAAGAAACAGCAGTAATGACAACAGTGCCTAGGCTGTCCTCATTCCTAGAAGCTATCCAGCGTCGTGATGACACGTATTACGTTGTGTCATTTTCTCCTGATCATCTATTGGTTCCTGCCACTGCACGTAATGATTCTGCTCGGCCTCGTATGTCCCTGCTCATGCCTACACCTCGCCCAATAAACGAGTCTCTGGCCCCTCCTGATGCTCACATTGCGATGATGCAAATTGATTGCGAGGTTATCCACACCCGTCTTGTGCATGTATCTGAGGAAGTTGTGCCTGCACATCTACGTGCTGGTGGCAACAATGCATCTCATCCATCATCAGATGGCTCTTCTACTGGCCGTCAGGAGAGACGTAGTGGCCATGCCAGATCGCGCCCTTTCCTTTCCAGACCCATTTACCCAACCAAATAGTCTTTATGTAATACTAAATGCAAAATTAGTCTGATTGTACATAACATTAAATCATACATAAATGAAAACTTTATCAAAATATTTTTTTTTTTCAGGGTAATCAAACTGTTAGGTGCAAATTGAAATTAAGAGTATTTGACAACTATTGTTTTGTGTTATATGAATCTGATACTGTTTTATCACTTTGGCATGATAGAGATAAGAATCAAATTCTGGTTAAATGTGTCAATTTTTAAACTGTACAAACTTGTGTGAATATATGATAATTTTTATAAGCTGTATATTAAAAGATCTTATCTTATTTTGACTTTAATGCTGAGTGGTATACATTACAAAGATAAGTTGTATGTTTGCTTTTTACATTGGTATATTACTGTAGTACAGTATATAAAAATAACCTTCAAAATAACATTCCATTCATGTCGTTCTTCTCACTTTCTCATAAATTGTGTAGAGGTTGTTGATTATACAGAATTTTCAAAATTGGGTTATATCAATGAGTTAAAGTAAATCGATTACCCAATTGTATATTGTACAGTACCTGCTTTGTGACTTTAGAATAGCAAACTTGTGAAATAAGTAATGCAACCACAGTATGTTCGTTTTAATTTTCGTGTGTGTGCATGTGTGCGTGCTGGTGTAGGGTTCATTAAGGTCTTTGACGAAGTAATTTTTTTTTTTTTTAATTGTGTTTAGCACAATTCTCCTTTAGGTTACTTTTCAGTTGTACTGAAGTCACCCAGATACTTCTATCATCAAAGCATAACCCTATATTAACATTTACATTGCCTGTTGTACTGTAAATGCAATAGTTTTTGTAAAATGAAAATTAATAGTTCAAACTTACCATAATGCATTTCCCGTGGATGTTTTTGTATATATATATATAAATATATATAAATATATATATACATATATATTTATTAATTTTGTTTGTTTTCTATAGGATTTATATGGCTGTGAACTTCCGTTTTTCCTCACATGTTAATGTGAATATAAAAATTTATTTTATTTTGTATATTAAATGCTCACTATATTTTGTTTCAGAGAATAGTACAATACTCTCATTGTACTTCAAAATGTTCAATTATTAATGCAAGTTTAGAGTTGTATAAGGGCGCTGAAATTTCTCTGGTTAATGACGTGGTGAACAATTCATAGTTGACAGGGTGGTTTTGCCTCTGTTCAACTTCTATTATTGTAAGAAATATTGCTTAAATACCAGAATTAGCTACCTAAAGATGATTCTAGGGGCTTACCTTCTCTGCAGCTTAGTCCCAGGTCAGGTCTCTTACTTGGTCTGATGAATATGGTTGTTTGGTGCTAGCTGTATTGCAATCCAACATAGGCACCACAGCCTGGCAAATGAAGAATTAACTTGAATTTTTCCATTTCCCTCTTGAAGACAGCTAGGCTGTGATTTGTAAGATTTATTGCCCACTGATTGTTTCTAGATTTGTATTAGGATTGGGACAGCCAAATCTCTTGATGTTTTTTGATTAGTGTTTCTGTTCTCGTGTACTTCATTGCTTACATAATTTATTTATTCTGTAACGGTTTGTCATATCAGTTTTGTTTAACTTAAGTGGCATTTTGTTCTTATCTACTATATCTCTGTTCTGTGGGGGTCACCCCTTGTATGTATTCATAATTCATATTGCGTGTCAGAGTAGCCTTGGATTTCATGCAAAGTATTGGCTAGTTCAGAGAGATCAGGCAAGAAATTCTAGATTTAGAGAAGAGATGCTGGTCAATATTTCAGTAATCTTTACAAATATACTGTTATAGCCAGTAAATTATGTGGTTAGTTTTGAAGACTCTTTTCCTGTCTCTCTGTCAATTTTTTTATTTGATGCTATTTATTGCATTATTTAATATCTAATTTATTGTTTCTCATGGGTGCTACAAGAACTTGGGTGCCCTGATATTTTACTGTGACTTGCATCTTTGTTCATGTAATTGAAAGTTCTTTATCTTTAATGGTTCTCCAGGTATATATATATTTAGTTACTGGTGCCAGGAGTGTCATCTTACTCTAAAGTATGGAGGATGCTTTGATGTAGGTATTACAGAACTAGGAAACTGTTCCATGGTACTTGATGTACGAGAAGCTAATGCTTTTGCACTTTTATAATTTATTGTTATGAAAATAAAAATTTAATTAATAATTCTTGTCACTTTTTCCAATTTTTTATTTTATCATTGTTCTGATGCTGGAGAATGTATGACGACAGTTGTTCATGTAAGTGTGTCATTAAGTAACACCGATTGTAGTTTTTCTGTGAAAATTTTTATCTTAACATATGTAAATGTGTTAGAAGCGAGTGGAGGCAAATGGTTTTTGGGACCTGATCAGCTGTCAATGTGAGGAGTGTAACATTTTGTGAAGGGGTTCAGGAAAACCAGTTAGCTGGACCTGAGTCCTGGAGGTGGGAAATACAGTGCATGCACTCTAAAGGAGGGTGGGAAATATTTGCCGTTTAGAGGATCGCTTATATGTATTCTTATCTGTATGCCTCTGGCAGACAGTGATGGGGAGTTTCTCTTTCAGGTCACCCTTCCTTGGTGGGAGATTATCACATGTATTACAAAAGTTTAATAATCATGTAGTATTGTTTCCTTCCAATCTGAAACTTGTCCACAGTGTCCAAGAATTTTAAAAAAAAAAAAAAAAATCTTATGAAATGGTAGTGAATCTTTTTCTGAAGGTAATAAAACAAGAAGTACAAAATTTGATTAAAAACTGACAAAATTACATTTTCATGAATTTTGCTGTCAGTGATTTTTATGCATCAGCCATTTTTGCCGACTTTGCCCTATTTTGGGCCAATTACACTGTACCAGTCGACCAAATTCTTAGCTATTTCACTAGTATGTCTTCCATTTTATTGATCGAGTACAAGAAATTACCTAATCAACTACAGTGGACCCCCGGTTATCAGCCATAATCCATTCCTGAAGGTCAGCCGAAAACCGAATTAATATTTCCCATAAGAATTAATGGAAAAAGATTAATTCCTTCCAAACAAAAATATTCACACAAAAAAAATAGTTTTTTATAATTATGTAAGTATTACATACCTTTATTGAAAGATAATGCTGGCTTCTGGAAGATAGGGAGGAGGAAAGAGGGAGAAGTTAGTGTTTGGAAGGGGAATCCCCCTCTATGAAGACTAGGTAGCAAAGCCTTCTCTAGGGTTACTTCCCTTCTCTGTCTTCTAATGCCACTAGGACCAGCTTGAGTCACTGGACCAGTCTTGCAAAATAACTGTCCAGAGTGCTCTGTTTCTGGCGTCTCTTAAGATTTCCCTGAAGTGGAACAGGGTTTTGTCACTAAATATGTTGCAGATATGGCTTGTTTCAGCTTTGTCAGGGTGGTGTTTCACTACAAAAGCTTGCACCCTAGTCCACATTGCACACACCTCTTTAATCTCTGAAGAAGGCACCTCCTTCATTCTCTCTTCCTCTTCCTCTGAAGCAAGTTCCTCAGCTGTAGTCTGTTGCTGTTCAAGTTGAAGCTCTTGCAGCTCTTCAATGGTAAGCTCTTGCAGCTCTTCAATGGTAAGCTCTTCCCTGTGGTCCTCCACCAACTCTTCCACATCCTCACCACTCACCTCCAACCCCAGGGACTTCCCCAGTTCCACAAAATCCACAGGGTCGGCAGGGTCAGGGTCACGGTGAGCCTCAAACCCTTCAAAATCCCTCTTGGACACAATCTGGCCACAGTTTTCTCCAAGCAGAGTTCAAAGTCCTGGAAGTCACTTCCTCCCAAGCCTTATCTATAAGGCTTATGCAATGGAGGATAGTGAGGTGATTCCTCCAGAATTCTCTTAGGGTCAACTGAATGTCTGAGGTCATTTCAAAGTAGTTTTGAAACACTGCTTTTGTGTAGTTTTTTTGAAGTTAGAAATGACCTGCTGGTCCATGTGCTGGGGGAGAGGAGTGGTGATAGGAGGCAAGAACTTCACTTTTATAAACCTGAAGTCCCTAAACACTTTGTCTTCCAAATCCAGTACCAGGAGGCACTTGAGTGGCAATTTCTTTTCCAGGAGGTATTTTTTCACACTTGGGGCCCAAAACATCATTAACCACTCTGAAAATTTTCCTTGTGACCCATGCCTTATGATTAGCTTTCCACATCACACACAATCTGTTCTTCATGACATTGTTTTTCTTAAACACACTGGGATTTTCTGAGTGATACAAGAGTAAAGGCTTCACTTTGAAATCCCCATTAGCATTACCACACAACAAAAGAGTAAGCCTGTCTTTCATAGGCTTGTCCTGAAAGTGCCTTTTCCTCCTGGGTAATGTAGGTCCTTTTTGGCATTTTCTTCCAAAACAGGCCTGTTTCGTCACAATTGAACACTTGTTGGGGTTCGAATCCTTCAGCCTTTACATAGTCCTGGAATTCGTGAACATACTTTTCAGCCGCACATTTGTCAGAACTTGCAGCCTCACCATGCCTTACAACACTGTGTATGCCACTATGCTTCTTAAATCTATCAAACCATCCTTTGCTGGCCCTCAATTCACAAATTGCAGCACTTGTTCCAGGCATTTTCTTTGCAAGATCCTCATGCAACTGCTTTGCCTTCTTACAAATGATCGACTCCACAACACTATCTCCCATTAATTCTTTTTCCTTAATCCACAATAATAATGAATGTAATTGTTTGTTTATTCTTGCTGTACATTGTGGCAAGTTCCACCACCTTCATACCACTCTCAAACTTTTCTGTAACTTCACGCTTAACCCTTAAATGGTCCAAACAGATCGACGTTCAAATTCGTAGTGCTACAAAAGTAGATCTACTTTTTTTACATATTTTCAATATAAAAAAAAATGTAGATAAAAGTTTTTTTTACACGTTTTCACATGTAAAACAAAATAAAAATTTACATTTTTTTTTTTACATATTTTCAGATGTTGAAAAAACGTATATATACGTTTGGACCATTTAAGGGTTAAATTCCATGGTGTTTCTCACTTTCTTTACCACAGGAACTTTACTAGGAACTTTCTTTGGAGCCATGGTTACTTATTTCACAGTTGCACTGCAAGAAAAACCACTAAAAGCAATGGTAAACAAACAAAATGTTTGGATGTACGAGCAAAAGCTTCCTCAGCCACCGAGAGACAAAGCCAAACTGAAGTGCAAGCTGCCTCAGCCGGCAGATGGATGCGTATAAAATGCTCGATAACTGAGCGAACGGCCGATAACCAGGCGGCGAAAACCCCGCCGATAACTGGGGTCCAATGTATTTCAACTACCCAATAAAGTGGTCAGAAATTGGTAATTTGGACAACTTCAAACAAATTTCAAAATAGGATCCAGAATAAACAGTGCAGGCATT